AATCAAAAGACACCATCGTGCCAAACAACTCACAGGTTGGGATCTTCTGTGTTGTTACTTACCTGTTTTAAAAGATTTCACAGGTTGGGATCTTCTGTGTTGTTACTGACCTGTTTTAAAAGATTACCACGATCATTTAATGTCTACATCACTAACTTGTCAAATTGCTTTTGCAGACTATATTGGTGATATATCTTTTAATCCTCCTAAATACCCCCACTTAACATTCATTCAGCAAGTACCCTTTCGCTTTTCCTCTCTTTCCTCTGCTACTCCTCTCTTTTCCTCTGCTACTCCTCTCCCTGATGCTCTGTTTTTACCGATGGTGCACCTACCAGAGGCGTGGCTACCTTTCAGCAACCTCCTGGAACCTGGAAAACCTTTTTTTACTTCTTTTCAAAACTCTTCTCAACGTTCAGAACTGGTGGCTGTCATCCTTACCTTTCAAATATTTCCAGATCAACATTTAAATCTCATTGTAGACATTCAATATGTATTTAACCTTCTCACTCATCTGTCACATGCCTATCTTTCTGCTCTTGACTTCTTAATTTCCCTGTTTTTGACTTTTAAAAAATGTCCTTGCTGCCAGATCACAACCTTTTTTTTTTTGCAGCTCACATCCGATCTCATACTGGATTTCTATCTCGGAGGAAAATCGTTGTGCAGACTCTGCTGTTCGTTCCTTGTGTCCTCTCTTTTCTAATCGTATTGACAGCCATTCCTTTTTTCATCAGAGTGCTAAACAACTTCATAAGCAATTTTCTATTCCGCTTTCTCAAGCTAGAGACATTGTCTCCTTCTGCTCTTCCTCTTCCATGTCTCCCATTTCCTTTCCTTTTGATGCTATTAACCCACAAGGAACAGATGCCAATCAGCTTTGGCAAATGGATGACACTCATGTTCCTACCCTTGCTCCTATTTCTTATGTTCATCTAACTATTGAAACTTATTCAGGATACATCTAGGCTACCCCTCTTTGTGGCAAGACCTCTAGCCATGTCATATAACATTTGCAATTATGGGCTGGCCTCAAGTCTTAAAAACAGACAATGACCCTGCATATACCTCTCACACCTTTACCACTTTCTGCAATGAATGGGACGTTCGACTTTCCCATGGTATTCCTTATAATTGCACAGAACAGGCTATTGTAAAATCAGCACATTGCTCTTTTAAATTTCTCCTTTCAAAACAAATAAAAAACAGAAGGATCAAGACCCAAGATGTTCCAGATGTAGTATCAATAGCATTATTCACATTAAATCATTTAACTGTATCTGCAGGTCAGCACAAGTTGTCACCAGTAGAGAAACACTTTCGTAAAGAAATCCCCATGGAATGGCCATTGGTGACTTATAAGCAACTTCCTGACCCTTTACAGTGGTGCCTCGCTTAATGACAATAATCCGTTCCAGGAAAATCGCTGTTAAGCGAAAACATCGTAAAGCGAAATTTAAAACCCCATTGAAATGCATTGAAATCCGTTCAATATGTTCCAATGTGGTAAAAACTCACTGTCCAGCGAAGATCCTCCATACGGCAGCCATTTTCGCTCCCTGTATAGCGAGGAATCCGTCCTTAAACACAGCCGGAAGCCATTTTAAGCCCCCGGTGGCCATTTTGAAACCCTGACGATCAACTGTTTTTGATCGTCGTAAAGCAAAAATCAGTTCCCAAAGCAGGGAACCGATCATCGCTAAGCGAAATTCCCCCATTTAGACCATTGTTTTGCGATCGCAATTGTGAACGCAAAAAGATTGTCGTAAAGTGGATTCGTCGTAATGTGGGGCAATTGTTAAGCAAGGCACCAGTGTACTAACATGGGGGCACGGCTATGCTGCTGTGCTTACTCCCACAGGTCCTTTGTGGATCCTGGCTCAGTGTGGGAGACCATATCATGGGAAGAATGAGTTGGCATCGCAAACTGCAGAACCTGATTCTGGAATTCAACCCAGCGATGGCTCTGGAGCGGGACCAGATGACTGCACATCGCTGGAAGTGCCTGGCCTGACCTGAAGGCACTCAGCCCAAAGTTTCTTGGGGGATGATAAAGATGCTGAGTGCTGATGCAAAATAACTCTAAATCAGCAGCAGATCCCGGAAACTCCTGAAACTTTTCTAGCAGCCATTATCTCGCAGCTGAATGCTAACTCTGTAACACTGTGTTCTCATTCTTGGAATTATGCTCTTCATACTCTTTATAAGTTGCTGTTTTATTCAATGTATACAACCTTCTTTTCCATAATAACTACCTTTGATCACATCTGCAACTGAATGTCTTTTTCACTTTAATCTGGTTGCGTCATTAAAACCAGTACTAGTAGAACTCGTTCATTGCTCTTCTCTGCTAGCTGACTGAGCGCCTTCTAACCTGGGAGTCTTATCTTTCAACACTATCTCCTGCCTCATTTTCAACTGTCTCATCATAGGATTTTTTATGCGTGAAATATTCAGAAGTTTTGCACCATTGCCTACTTCTGTGCCACACTAACAAATGTTAATTGAATCACTACTACTATTATCTATAGAAGACTCTCTGCTAGCGTCACCTTCTATTAATGCTTCTGCCCTTCAAGAATTTCTCCATAGGAGCAGTCTCCTATCATGACAGGAGCAATCAATTTTCTCAGCTGATGTACCCAGGAGCTACTTCTCCTGAAGGGATTTATCTTAATCTCATGCCTCAGCTCCTCTTTTCCATCTTTGGACAGAAGTGAGAGACAGCATGTGAGAACAAGGGAGGAAAAAGCAGTAGCAACAAACAAGCACTCCAGGCCATCAGACTGCTGGGTGTAGCCAGGACAAACTGATTAACTGTAGGGCTTGTTGACACAGTAGTGTTGTTCCCTATTGTTCTAGGTCATCCAGGTACTTCTTGTTGCAGATTTGAATACATCAACCTGATACTGACTTCCAAACTTGGGAAGGGTATTTGTTGTTGGATATACTTGGATAAACACTGGTTCATCCAGTATCCCATTACAGCTCACCCATCATCTCTGCCCTATCCCCACCTACTTCATTCTCTCTTCCGTTCCATCATTGTTTTACTTCCCTAACCTTTTGAAATCTCCATGGGTTTGTGGCAATATCTTTTTTTGTTTGTTTCTTTTATTTCTTTTTCTGTTTTTGTTTGTTTGTTTCTTTTATTTCTTTTTCTGGTTTCATTTTTTTTGAAGTTTCATTTTTGCAGTATCTTGCAAAACATTTTATTAAAAAGGAGAATGCAGAAAGAGTTTATCTCTTCTCTTCCTGCTCCCCACCTACATTGCTCTGTCTTCAATCTCATCATTGTTTTACCTATCCATGATTCTCAGAACTTTTTATGTTTGCAGCAATGCTTCGTAAATTTACATTTTTTAATATATTTTAGTTTTCAGTTTTGTGCTGTGGTGCAGAAGTGATAATGTTATTAAAAAGGAGAATGCAGAAAGAGTTTATCTCTTCTCTTCCTGCTCCCCACCTACATTGCTCTGTCTTCAATCTCATCATTGTTTTACCTATCCATGATTCTCAGAACTTTTTATGTTTGCAGCAATGCTTCGTAAATTTACATTTTTTAATATATTTTAGTTTTCAGTTTTGTGCTGTGGTGCAGCAGTGATAATTTTTTTTTAATTAAAAAGCAGAATGCAGGAACAGCTGGTATCCTGATTAAGAAAGAGTATCCCAGGAAAGCTAAACAGAAGCTTCAATAAGGTTTGGAGGGGTGAAGACTGTCTAGCAGAAATCAAATAACACCCATCCACAAAGTACACAGAACAGTAAACATCAACACAGTAGTGAGCTTTACAAGTAGCAGATCCTGTACTAGAGCCAATCAGAGCAAAGGAGAACAAAAATATATCACCAGCTGGTGGTGATGCAAAACAAAAACCACAGAAAACAATTTTTTTTCCTGTTCCACTTCTGTTCTGTTGACTTTTCAGTCTTCCATCATGGGGACACCAGGATGCAGTTACTGGTATCACATGTGGAAGGAAAGTTGAATCAATGCTTATTGTGAACAGGTCCTTAGGTATCTTCCAAGAAGTGAAATTGCAGGCATTTTGCTCTGGAGTAAGCAAAACAATATCCTGGATCAGCAGCACTGCATTCCTCAGGGACTAAAATACCTGTCTTCCTTCTAATGTCTTCTGATTAAAAAATCTTGCCCCCAATTCCCTGATTTAAAAAGAAGAGAAAACTAAGAGGGTGTGTGTAGCATTCTAAAATCTGGAACTAATTACATAACTTATGACAATGAAGAATTCAGAATTGTTAATGGTTTTCTATACCTTGATTTAATCAACAATTGAAATGGAGACTGCAATCATGAAAGAAGAAGCATGAGACTTGGATAAGCAGTTCTGAGGGAGATTGGAAAGATAACTAAGAGTAAGAATGTATTACTGGGGACTAAGGTTAAAATAGTCCATGACATAGTGAAACCTGGACAATGAAGAAAGCTAACAAGAAAAATAATCAGTTTATTTGAAATGAGTTGAAAGAGAGCTTATACATATCATGGAAGACAAATAAGTAAATTCTATGTCAAATCAAGCTTCAATTCTCAGTAGAAAGGAAGCCTACTGTATTTTGGGAGTATCTGGGGAAGATAAGACTCACTGAAAAATACAATAGTATTGGGGGAAATGGAAGGCAGAAGGGGGAAAAAAAAGAAAGAAAGACCAAACAACAGATGGCTTGATTCAATAGGGAGAGTCATGACCTTGACTTTGCAAAACCTGAATAGGAAAACAACAGATGGCTTGATTCAATAGGGAAAGTCATGACCCTGACTTTGCAAAACCTGAACAGGACTGTTAATGATAGGACCTTTTGGAAATCACTAATTGAGAAAATTACCATAAGTGGGAAGCAACCTGATGGAATAAAACAACCACTACCTTTAAAAGATAAGGAAGTGATAATACTCCCTGACAACTTCCTCCAAAGACTAATAATGTTCACAATTTTAATACATTTAAAATAAAAGACACTAGAATCATACTTACCCGTTCCTGCCCTGCTGTATCCCAGATCAGAAATTTATGAAGCTCATTTCCACAAGGCACAGTTTTAGTCATGAAAGAAGCACTAAAAGATGTAAGAAAATCAGCACACTGTTTAAATACAAAGTTTGTTTGTTAACAAATAATTCCTAGTGGGATATATGTATCAATTTTAGGTCACACTGTTTGTCAGGAAATAATATAACAAGTACAGTGGTGCCTCACTTAACAATGATAATCCGTTCCAGGTAAATCGCTGTTAAGTGACAACATCGTAAAGCAAAATTAAAAAACCCCATTGAAACACATTGAAAACCATTCAGTGCATTCCAATGGAGTCAAAACCCACCGTCCAGTGAAGATCCTCCATACGGTGGCCATTTTCGGTGCCTGTATAGCGAGGAATCTGTCCCTAAGCACAGCGGGGAGCCATTTTAAGCACCCGGTGGCCATTCTGAAAACCCAACAATCAGCTGTTTTTTATCGTCGTAAAGCAAAAAATGGTTCCCAAAGCAGGGACCGTTCATGGCTAAGCAAAATTCCCCCATTTAGACCATTGTTTTGCGATCGCAATTGCAATCGCAAAAAGATTGTCGTAAAGCGGATTCATCGTAGTGCGGGGCAATCGTTAAGCGGGGCATGGCTGTAGCTGGCTGGATAGGTCAATGGTTTAGGTATCTGGCTGCAGAGCCAGAGGTTAAGAGTTCAATTCCCCACTGTGGTGCCTGTGAGTAAAGCCAGCCTGTGTGGCTTTGCATAAGCTACACAGTCCCCAGCATGCTTCCAGAAGGAGAGAATGGGAAATAACTTCTGAATATTTTCTATCAAAAAAACAAACAAACCTGAAAGGGGTCACGATAAGTTAGAACTGACTTGATGGCACATGATTATTAACATCATCAAGCAATTTCTAATTTTTCTAAAGGGAAGTTAATGCATATCTTCTTAAGATACTCTGGAGTAGCAAATGGTTTTTATTTCTAATTCACTGGTAGCCTAGAGAATATGATTCTGTACACCAAAGATCTTTAAAAGCACATCAGTGTTTTTTAAACTGGAAAAGGGGAAAAACTACATAGTCCCAATTTCATTGCATCACCAATGATACTTAGGGAGAAATAGGGCCAGAATTAGACTGGAAATACAACAAGCTGGTTGGCATTTGTTTTTAAAAGCTTGCTTTACTGAACCTAGTACCAAAGGGAGCAGGAAGTGGGAACTCCTCATCACTGCAAGGAAGTGGAGGGCAGAGAGAAAGCCTATTTTGAAAGTCTGTTTTATGAGGGGAGGCCTGTTATGAGAAAATACATTGCAAGAAGTGGAAAGAACGAGTAATCTGGATTTGTACAGCAGATGCAATTTATTACCCTAGTTTAAATTACATCTGTTGTACACATTTAAAATATTCTACCCTGCTGCTCAACTGTCTCCCTTCCTGAGCTAGCTGAGATGGTCTCAGGGTTGCGTTGGAGTCCCCTCAGCTTGTTGTGCTAGGGATTTCAATGTCCATTCTGAAACAGCTTTCTCAGGAGTAGCTCAGGACCTCTTTTCCTCTATGGGTCTGTCCCAAATGGTATCTTGCCCTATCCATGCTGCAGAGCACACTCCTCTGGTTTTCTGTACTGGAGTAAATGTTAGTGATTTTGTTTTCTCCTGTATTTTCAGAGTAGTTCCAGTCACTCCTCTTATGTCCTTCTTTCGTTTAAAAATAAACTTTGGCTGCTGCCCTATACACATTTTCATGGTGATATGCCCCATTAAATTCAATTGGACCAACTTCTATATAAAAATTCACAGAGGCATGCTGTTGAAACACCTTAAGCTTTGACAGCTGCTTGAGTAGTAGAATTGATAACTGCTTTATCTAGGAAAAATATACAGTAAAAACCGTATATGAAACATGAAAAACTACTGTGGGTAATTAATAAAATACCAGCAATACTGAACCAAGTTTTCATATATAAAAATATTTCTGTTTTAAACAGTATGTGAGAATAGTATATTTCCAACTTCTTTACATAAATCACAAAAATACAAATATCTCATTAAACAGGAAAACATCCTGTTACTGAGACAGCACAACTGTGAAACCATGTTTAATTAAGTGTTTCCTACATTGCTACTTATTCCTTTACTGGAAAGAAACCCCTCGATGAATTAATGCTAGTGGTGCAATTCTCGTGTCTCTCTTTTTGCACTCTATGTAATAAAAATTGTGTACCATCAAATAAAGTCTGACTTGTGGCAACCCTTTTCAGATGTTTCTAGGAAGAGAGTACAGTACTCAGAAATAATGTTCCATTCCTTTCTTTTGGGAGCATCCTGGGACTGTGCAAGTTGCCCAACTCTACAAAAGGAAGCACAGTGGGAAATTGAACTCTAAACCTCTGCCTATGCAGGTAGCTATCTAACCCACATTCGACTTAAGAACTTTTCGACCTGAGAACTGCCTTCCAATACGGATTAAGTCCGTAAGTCGAGACCCCACTGTACTGGAAAGAAACCCCTATTGATGAATTAATGTTAGTGGTGCAATTCTCGTGTCTCTCTTTTTGCACTCTATGTAATAAAAATTGTATACCATCAAATAAAGTCTGACTTGTGGCAACCCTTTTCAGATGTTTCTAGGAAGAGAGTACAGTACTCAGAAATAATTTTCCATTCCTTTCTTTTGGGAGCATCCTGGGATTGTGCAAGTTGCCCAACTCTACAAAAGGAAGCATAGTGGGAAACTGAACTCTAAACTCTGCCTATGCAGGTAGCTACCTAACCCACTGAGCTATCCAGCCAGCACACTATCTTCCACTATCTACTAAAACGAGAATGCAATATATTCCAGAAACTCAGAACTGGAATGCCTCCTTATGTCTTGAATAAAAAGATAATAGCAAACTTTTTAGCTAACCCAATGTCAAGAGGCCAGAGCAACAATGGGATTTCTCCTGAATTATTTTCTCGCTTGATATATTCCCAATTCTTCTTGTTTCTTACTCTGTACCAATTCTTCCTACTGACAGAGGAATTCCTGTACTGTCTAGTCCAACAGGTTTTAATATTACCAGCACACCAAGCTCTGTGCTGTAGTAGCACAGACAGAGATTTAGGTAGTACTGCATCTAGCTTGAGCGTAGTTGTGTTCTTGAAGGCTGAAAACATTTGATTCATAACAGGTTGGCACACTTGTCTCTAGATGTAAACATGCATGAATGAAATTTGAGTCAAGATCTGGCTTGTCAGCAGTTCATAAGCTCTGAAGCTTTGGAAGACTTAATGAAGATGAATTACATGCCAACTACTTATGCTGTGATATCTGTTTTGTTAAAAGCCAAGGCAATGTGATAAATTACAAAATGAAATCATTGCTTCATGTGGATGCAGATACAAGGCTACAAATTGTCAGCTAGGAAATTTTTTAATATCTTAATCTGTACTTGGATGACCTTCATGCAGATGCTTTTAAAGAGCTCATCCACACAGGGATGTTGTCCTTGATCATCTTGGGGTTGCCTTGGATCATTCTGTTATCTTTTGTTGCAGATTTGAATAAGTCACCCCAGTATTTGCATCCACAGATAGGGAGATTTGTTGCTGAATTTATTGGGATGCACTGGATCATAGATTTGCGACTGCTCTTTGGCTACTCCATCCCAATGCTGATAACCCACCCCCTTTGCCTATCTCCTCTATCCTCCCTTGCCCATCTTGAGTCTCCTTCTCCTCACTTTGTTTTACCAAGTCATCATTCTCAAATACCCATATTTTACTCCATCTATTTCCTTGTGTGAGCTCAGCAGCATCTTCTCAAAGGAAAGAAGGAGCTGATACACCAAGGCCAAAGAGGAGTGGTACTAAGGTATGGAGGGGTGACCATAAAACATATGCCTCTAAAGAAACACTATTGAAGATACACGTCCACAAAGTGCACAGGCCAGCATGCAGTAACACAGTACCAGGCTCCATATGAGCAGATTGTATATGGGAGCAAATCCCAACAAAAATATACCACCACTAATGATGGTACAAAACCCCCCAGAAAGCAACTTTTTAAAACCCTTTCTTGCCTCTGTCAACACTAGTTTTAGATCTGTATTATGAAATACACTGGGATGTATTACCAGTATCTAAAAGCACTTCCCAGGCTGCACGTGAAGACCTGAAAATAACCCATTACGCCCCAAAGAACAAAAGTAATGCTAAGGCTTGAATCTGCTTCAAAGTCATACCTCTCTCCTAATTCCAGGTCTAGCTGCAATTCTCAATTTTTAAAAAGGGATATGTACTCTGCATATTCACATACGCACTGCTTATATCACACATCCCAGAGCCGAAACTTGAATTTTATTATGCCTTGCTAAAAAAATTTCTATCCATGAAAGGAGCTGGCAATTGCTCAAGAGGGAAATATTATTTCTAAAATCACTCCCCAACTGAACTACAACCATAGCCATAAAAAATACACACTCCAAAGGACAAGGAAATATCTTAGAAGCCTTCTCCATATAAGCCCCTTCTGTGTCCTCATTCTTTCCTAATTTAATTTAGCCAGAATGATCTATGCTAACTGGCTAGCACACAGCAATTAATCCTGTAATGTATTTTGGTGTTCAGAACAATGTAGAACTGTTACATTTTTTATATTTGGGACTTTAGTAGTCTGAGAAGGCAAGACAGGAAGGCATAATAAAATGTTAGAAAAATATTATAAAAATGTGGGAAGGAGAGGAAACAAACTGGGATTTAATCTTAAATAGTAAAATGTATCTCAAATTCTATAGATTTAAGGGTGATAATTTCAGAGCTAAAATTTATATGGAGTCTCAATCAGAATTTATGAACCTGTGGTCTTCCAGATGTTAGAATCTCATTACCACCAGCTTCAGACAGCATAACAATGGAGAAAGGATGATGTTTGATCCCAACATCATCTGGAGAGCCATGGGTTCTTCTCTCCTAACTTTTGATCCATCTATATTCCACAGATGGGCAGGTGAGAAAGTATGTTTATTCTGCTTCATGAGACACATGTTTAAGACTTATACCCGGAAACTGAAACCCAGTCAGGATAATTAAAAATAATCTGATAGATCACTGTTATCGTCACTGCCTTCTCTGAGGTAGAAGACAATGGAGCTATATCCTTCACCATAGTCTCCACTGACTCGGCAGGCTGGTAATCAAGTGCAACAAACTTTATTTCAATAGCAAGACAGCTGGTGTGCCCCTCAACCCCAGTCCTGTCCATGGTTTAGTTACTGTCACTGGACATGAGTCATTTAAAGTCCACTGCTGGGGTTGAGTTTGAGTCACTAGCCCCAATGGCTCAGCTTTCCTCAGTGAAGGCCAGTATGCCCACAGGGCAGCTGGCTGTCCTGCCACAGCTGATCCTTGCACTCCCAGGCCAGCTGCACCAGTCTCTGATGCTGGCAGCAGTGTCTCCAATGCTTCATATGCATTGGTCTTGGGTGACCCCAAATGAGGAGTGATGGGGCATCCTCTCTGCTATCCCATCAGTCCTGACTTGGGACAGGACGTACAGCTCATGAGGTCCTTGATTCTAGCTGAAGGTAGTCCATGCCATAGGCCAGGCAGGGGTCCCAGAACATGAAGGACTCCTCTTTCTCCCTCAAAATGCAGAAGATGGGTGGCTAGACCTGTAGTGCCTCCAACCAGTTCTACGCTTCTACCTCCTTTATTTCCTCCTCCTTCCAACTAGCTGCACCTCCTACATCCTGCCTGTCAACTGCACCTGTGCCCTCCCCACACACACACACACCAGGGGCCCCCGTCTGCCTACATGCTGCTGCTTGGCATCTTTGTCTTCAGGCTGCCCTGCAGCCAGGATCTCTGGGTAGTCTGCCAGAAGGCCTGTGGACAAGGCAAATAGACTGCTGTGGTTGGTGGAGGTGTCCCTACAGCTGAGATGCGAAACCTCCACCTCTCTATACATATACAGTACAGTGATAGTCTACAGTAGTTTTACAGAATCTCTCTGGCTCAGAATCTCAAAGTATATAGTTTTTGTTTAGAGGAAGAATATGTGGACTTTGTCGCTGAATACTTTTCTATGATTTGGGTATTTTTTTTAATGAGCATAGCTATACAGTGAGGGCTACTTGTTTTCCAAAAGGATAATTACAGCACCCTGGCAGGACAAATAATCTTCTAGCATAAATTTCAGGATGGCACACATACCTAATATTGCATGGAAAGAAATGTATTTTTCAAAAGAACCAAATAATTTTATTTCAAATCAATATCAAGAAGTTCACAGGCAGTTAAAATTTAGAGATATATCACCACCCTGCTCTTCTTCATTCCTGTTCTTCTGTTTACTACAAAATCTATCTGAGTCATATGTCAATAAACATATTTAAGAACTGTGTGTCAAATTATTATTAAGGGCCAAGAAATATACATCTATTCAATAAAGGATCTATTCATAGCAAAATAGTGGTTTGGAAGAGGAAGGGAAATTGAATATGATCAGTAGCACTAATACCTAATCCACAGATTCCCTACCATGTTTTCTGGGATGTCACCACTGAATAAGTAGTTGCAATTATTTTTATATTATATTAAATATTGTATACACAGTGCAGTTTTATGTTACTCCTCTTGGTCCACTGATAGATAATTTTAATGTGAACTGGAATTGCAGGCAATCTAGAGATCTTAGTTACATCTTTGGGTGCATTTTTCTTTTATGCAAGTAGTCAAGCCTACTGTAGCTAAAGGGAGTTGAAATCTGATAACATTTAGAGGACTACAGCTTCCCATTCTGTATTTAAAGGATGAGCAACTAAATTCACTCTCCTTTCAGGACCTTAGAAGGAGCAAGAAAGAAAAAGAGGATGAAGAGGAAGGAAAGCATGTTGCATAATAACAGTTTAAGATACATACTGAATGGTGGTTTGGAACTGGTATTACTTAAACAGGAAGTTAATATGCTTAGTCACTTAATAACTCTTTCCATTATATAACAATTGGAAAACCAAACATAATTATCTCCCTGAACCTTAAAATACAAAATATATTTTTATTAATAGTGTTTATTTAGCTTCATTGAAGTTTGAAAATATGTATACTACTTACCCAATAGTGGGGCTAATATTGTGGTCGAAATGATCCTGAACAAATCGACAAACTATACTTGACTTGCCAACTCCGGTATCCTAAAAATTCAGAAAGGAAACATCAGTTTTACCCACCAAATATGTTGAAATGAGATCTGGGTTAAATTGAAAAATCTCCTAGAGGGCTGTCAAAGGACCATAAAATGCAGAAGTACTGTGTTGCTGTATCTATGACACTTGGTGCAGTGAATGATTCCACATCCAACATTGGGAGACAAAACGCTAAGTAGGGGAGCATGGATCCATAAGATCCCTGGTTTCCTCATACTCTCAACATTTTCTAAAAGAGAGACCCGCTTGGGCCAGCCCTGTCATTGAAAGAGGCCATTCCTTTCCACTGTGGTTAGTCATCTATCAATCATGCATCAAAACATAACTGAGAGCCAAGAAATATATAGCAGTATAGGCATCACAGTAGAATAGCAGCTTGGGAGAGAAGACACGGGATAGAGCAATATCATCATCATCAAGTAAAGCAGAGTTCAGAAAAAATCATTTTGTCTATCTCTCTTCAATACTCTGATACAAGCACTTGCACTTTCATGCTTTTCTTTCCACACCCTTAGCATGTATTATCATACTTTGGACGTATCGTGGGAAGATTTCATGAGAAGATAGGATACACCGGAAAGGTGATAATACCAGTTGAAGGGGAAGGCAGAAGGAAAAAAGGAAGAGCTAACATGAGATGGATTGATTCAATAAAGGAAGCTAAACCCTTTAGTTTGGAAGACCTGAGATGGGCTGCTCAGGATATAGTCTTTTGGAGGCTATTAATTCATAATCTGAAGCAATCTGATGATATATGACAAAGGCCCCTCCTTAGCACCTATAAAACATGATGAAACTCTTTTTCTTAGAAATACAGTTTTGCTATCCACAGCTAGATCTAGATGTACTAGCAAAATCCCATGTAATATTGGAATAGAGGAAGCATATCTAAAGTTCAATGTGCTCAGCAGTAGTTACAACATTCTCTTGATTTATTTAGATTTACACCCCACCCATTTAGTGAACATGCCACTAATCTTGATCTAAGTACATGGATTGAGCACCTATAAAACATGATGAAACTCTTTTTCTTAGAAATACAGTTTTGCTATCCACAGCTAGATCTAGATGTACTAGCAAAATCCCATGTAATATTGGAATAGAGGAAGCATATCTAAAGTTCAATGTGCTCAGCAGTAGTTACAATGTTCTCTTGATTTATTTACTGTAGATTCATTTATTTAGATTTAGACCCCACCCAATTTGTGAACATGCCACTACTCTTGAACTAAGTACAAGGATTTTTGTGGATGCACTGTTCATCTGACTGTAAGCAAGTCTGGGTAGTGATGAAGCCAGTAAAATTCCTCAGAGAAGTATCACCTCTGAGGTGATTTTTTATTTATTTTAGGCTACCACCGGTCAACATAATGGAAGGCAAAGAAGGATACTGCCCTTCCTAATAATTACTTTAAATTAGAGTTTCACAATCATCTCTGTAGTGCAGTTGATCTGTGACTGTGGTACTCTATATATTCTGTAAAATGATCTGTGGCTTTCAGAAAATAAACAGAACAGGAATGGATCATCTTTGCTCCCTCTCCTTAATTCTATGATTAAACAGAAAGCCATTCTTCTCTTCCCACAACCAGGGAAGGAACAAAATCTTTACCAGTGGAAATTGTTGCAGGCAAATCACTATTCAGATGTGCTCATTAGATGTCATGATATAGACTTGTTTTTGTCTAACCAAATCAGATAGTTGAATTTTGATGATACTTTACTTCAGATCTTGCCAGAAAATATTGTATTTAATAGCTTAATTCTGGAAGTAAATGTAGCGGATGGATAGGGTTTATATATATAAATGGATTTCAATAAACATGGAGTGTGCATTTTAAAAGTCATGGCAGGGGCAAGGAAATCAGTAGCCCAACTACTGTATGGCTCCCAATTGGGCCCCTTCCCAAATATTGCAACCCTAGAATGTGTACAATCCTGAGGGCAATATTAGGAGTCCCCAGACATGTCACCAAAGTAAAACTAAGATTGGAATCTGGTCAAATTAAAATCGAAGCCAGGATATGGATTGCAATTCTCATGTACTGGCTCAAACTATCTTATCTCCCTATTGGTTTTGCACCACTGATCCTGCAAGACACCTTATAGTCAAAATGGAATCCTGCAAGACACCTTAAAGTCAAAATGGATTCAATTAATTGAGGAAAAAAATAGCCTCTTTGGGTCTCTCTAGTCTAGGTTGACTCTGTTAACCATGGGAATGGAACAGGCAAAGAAAATCATTAAGCAGCGTATTGAGGACATCAAGAGACAACATGATTTAAGCAGTGCCCCAGAATTCTACCTTAGAGAGGACAGCTTATACAAGGTTACAGCAACACCTTATTTTGCCCATTTGGGGCAGTCCAGGCACAGAGGGGTGTTTACTCTGGCCCAGCTTAATGCACTACCTTCAGCAGTGCAGGTGGGATGGTATAAAAAGATCCCCTGGGCAGAGCGCCTTTGCCCATGTGGAATGGAGCAGACATAAACAACTGAACATGTCCTTTTGTGGTGTGCACATTACAAGGAAGTACGTGAAGAACTTGTTTCCCCTTTGATTGACCCATTTCCCAGTTGTACAGAGCAACAATGTATGCATGTGCTGCTGTCTGACTCCAATCCCATGCTTACACATAGGGTTGCCAAATTTCTTACTGAGGAAAAAGGGCATTAGAAAAGGGACCCTGAAAGTGGACGAGCCTCTGTAGTTACAGCATGGTTTGCTAGACATTCTGGAATTGCTTTAGGGGAGATGTTTTGATGCTGTTGGTGTTCAACTCAGAACCGATTATTGCTTTGCATTCGATCCCAATATTTTTGTATACTTCTGTATATTTATATATTTTGATGTTTTATTTGTGGCTGGTCTTTTGACCGTAATAAAGTTTTATCTTATCTTATCTACATATAAATGGATTTCAATAAACATGGAGGGTGCTTTTTAAAAGTCATGGCCAGGGCAAGGAAATCTGTACAAGGCATCATGTGTGTACATTTTCAACACTGCCACTGCCTCAAGGCACATAAGCCTTGCTCTCATAGGGCAATCTTGCCTCTTGCCACTAGGGGAAGACCCTAGATAAGATTTACTACAGCACATAAACTCTGATTTGTCAGTTAACCCAAGCTTATTCTTTTTCCTTTACAAGGAATCTCATATCAATATTCATATAAATATACACATTGGAAATTTCCACGTAAATACTTCATAACATTGAAGTGAACATCTCTATATAATAACTGAGCTAAATATATGACACTCTTAGGTGAAAGTTTACATCTTTTTTCCACAATTAACTATACCAGGGTCTGGAGTGTTGTTAGGTTTGGATGTGGAGAATTCAGGTGCACAAACAGACCAGTTACTAGCAGTGTGATTCTATACTGTACATCTCTCGCTGAAGCAAGTGCTATTCGGCAACAGGATTTACTTCCAGGTACTGTATAGGTATTTTCTTTAAAGATTAAGCTCCACAGACTTACTTTCAAGTAAGAATCAGGCAATTAGTGAAGCACTAATTCACCCTAGGTGAAGCACTATTTTTGTGGTTGGTGTGGTATGAAATGAACCAAGCACAATTGCAGGATGCACATTGAAAGTAAAACTGCTATTAGACCAAGAGTTAAATTATCTCCATGCATTGGAGCACCTGGCTGCAGAGCCAGGGGAAAGGATTCTTAATCCCCATGTGTCTCCCCAGAGAAGGGCCAACCAAGATCATCCACAGTGCGCATAGCTAATGGGGTTATATGTCTGGCCATATAGGTGGACTTGGGCAAGCTAAATGGTCCAAGAATGGGGACTGGTAAGTTACATCAGAGTACTTTATACCTAGAAAACTCTGGGTGAGTGGCCATATGTTGGAACTGATAATATATCATCATCATCATCATCATCATAAGAGACAAGGCCAAATAAGGAAAAAAACAGACTCTATCTTTTTGAATAAGTGATTATAAAAAACAACCAAAACTCAAAATCATAACTGAGCTAAATATCTATAGGAGCAGAAATGCAGCCCCCTCCTGTTCCTGAATTCTTGACTGTATAATAAGTTTATCAACCATTTTTGATCACTTTGCTGTATCAATTACAGATAAATAAAGGTGCATATTATCAAACTCTGAATATAGATGTCTTTGAGGTATCAAAAGAAAAGCTGGTAATTTACAAGTCAGTAAAAAAAAGAGACCACATTTCTAAAAGGGAAACATAAACAAGTATGTCAGCCTTCTCAATTAAAATATATCATCAGCTATTCAAATTGGGGTCACATGGATTTACATCATCTTATCTTATCTATGGTGGCGCTCAAGGGACGTGGTGGCGCTGTGGGCTAAACCGCAGAAGCCTGTGCTGCAGGGTCAGAAGACCAGCAGTCATAAGATCGAATCCACGCGACGGAGTGAGCTCCCATCGCTTGTCCCAGCTCCTGCCAACCTAGCGGTTCGAAAGCATGCAAATGCGAGTAGATAAATAGGGACCACCTCGGTGGGAAGGTAACAGCGTTCCGTGTCTAAGTCGCATTAGCCATGTGGCCACGGAAGATTATCTTCAGACAAAACGCTGGCTCTATGGCTTGGAAACGGGAATGAGCACCGCCCCCTAGAGTCGAACACGACTGGACAAAAATTGTCAAGGGGAACCTTTACCTTTATACTAGATTTCACAGACGTTTAAATGATTTGACTGCCACTTAAATCCATTTGTTAATCAACCTACCTTGTGCCATTCAAGATCAATCTCTGTTGAGTCCAAGATAAACAATTTAGAAAGTGTTTGTCCTCCTTTGCTACAGAGCAGTCTTCCCTAATCTGCCCTCCAGATGTTTTTGTATAACAGCTCTTATTATCTGTAACCAATGACCTCATTGGCTGGAACTGATGAAGGTTATAGTTTAATAAAAGTTGTAGTACAAAACATCTGGAGAGCAACACATTCTGGAACACCATTAAAAAGCCTAAAGAACTAGATGCAACCATTG